AATAAAAAATGTTAAAAAAAGTTCTCAGGATGATAACATAAAAAAAATATATAGGCACGGACTGGTGTTTGATAACTACACATACATTTATCAAAATTAGAAAGTCCCTAAATAAACCACAAAAGAGACAATGGCTACTATGTTCTATGATAAAGGACTATGTTCACGAACTATTCTAATATAGTATGAAATGCTCATTTTAGTGGAATTTTCAATGCGTACCTATCTTTCAATTCTCTTCTTCTTGACTTTAAAGCGTGCCAGTTAAGCTCGGGTTACTTCGCGAATGTCACGTAGAATGGAGAAGACACGAAGCTGAACGGATTTCGATCTGAATCGAATAAACGCTACCCTTGTCCTTGTTATCTCCGCCCCGCTTATCACGTGAGCGAAACCGCGGAAAAAAATAGATATAAACATAAATTGACTGTTTTATATTTTAAAATAATTTACATACACAATATAAAAACTGGTTTTTAAAAAGAATAATCAGGATTTTGATAATATAAAATAAAATCTGAAAGTAATTTTTTCTCTAAATCTATCAATAAAGTTAAAAAAGTTGTTTTGTTTTTGTGTTTGTTTGAACGCGCTAAACTCTAACTAGCAGTCCGATATGAAAAGTTCAAAAGGCAAAAGCTAGTTGTTATTAAAAATATACAGTAGGTACCTACTAGATTGACTATTCATGATCAATGATTAAATTAAAAACCTGTTATAGTTTGATATATAACGAAGTGCTGTCTTCCTAAGATGGCATTGTGTGCCTCATCTACATACACAAAAATGAAATAGTACTCTCTGATTAATCAAGAAATCTAAGAAAATACAAAATATGATACGAACTTGAAATTTGGCAGAAAGGTTTCATCCACATAGGCAAAGGTATCCGCAATTTTTTTTTGAAAATTCAAATCTGTATCAAACTCTAACAGTTCTGCAGTGACCAAAATTAAGAAAATGGCTAGGTATTTATCTAATGATAAGTATTATAAATCAAAGTTTTAGGCAGTACATCTTCTGGGGGAAAAGGGGGATGAAGTGAATATTTAAATACAAAAAAAATTATAAATACAAAAAGCACCTACAGTCGTGACGTATGTATAAATGCATTTCTCAACAAAAAAATATATAAAAACACATTAAAAGCTAGTAGAGGATAGTGTTCAGTTGAGTAAAGAAATTGAATTTATAAAAAAATGGGTGCGCGTAATCTTTGCCCGCGGTTGAAGTAAAACTTTTTTGGCAATTAAACTAAAACAAATCAATAATTAAATAAGGCATATTACAATCATATTATATTTATAGAATATCATATTATACGGAGAGAATATAATATTATATATTTGTCAGATAATAACAACGGTTAACATGGCAACAATTACTCATAAATCATAATAGCTTTTATTTAATTTATGCACATTTATCCCGTAGTAATAAATATTATTTTTTAAAAATAATAAGGTTTTTTACCAAGTTTAAAAGTTATTTTACATTTTATTTAACATATATATTACTTAACATACTATTCAGATTTTTTTTTCACTTCCTGTGTAGTGTTTTCTATCTCATTCTTTCGCTGGCTTAATCTTATATATTTATATGTTTGTCTCTTTATCAAACACAATCTAAAGAAGTTTCACTTCAAATAATTGCCACATTGGTTGAGTACAAATTGTACCAGAATTAAAGATGCTATGTCAAGGATAAGGCAAAAATAGGCCAGTCTCTAAGGAGTATACGCCCTCACGCAACCGCATATCGGAAGCGCCACATTTTGTACCTATTAATAATACTGTCTGACTGTGCAATCATCTTTCATTAAAAACTAGATATATTTTTTAAATAACGTACTATAATTTTACGTATTAGGTAAGTACCTACTATAATTTTGTGTAATACTATTAAAATGTAGAGGCCCCGGGGTGATGTAGGAATGAAAGCTGTAGTGATGTGGCAAATAATTTGACGAAGGTCTTTTGGTTTTCCTGTTTTTACGTTTGCAAAATTTTGGGGAACCACCAAGCGGTTTTGTTCCTACAGCTTTAAACAATATTTTTGAATGGACCTATTTATTTCATCATATCTCATTTCATCATAATATATTGTTAAGCGTTCCAAAGATGGCACTCAAGAAACTTATTAAACTCCATAAACTATAAAAAACTGCTTCTATATTCCATAACTAGATGCTCATTAAAGAGCGGATGAAAGATATCTACCATTGTATGAAAAAAACCTTAAACCTACAATAATGTTACATTTACGGGCGAGGATGAAAATAGAAGAACAGATTATAAATTTTCGTTTGGAAGGTATTGCTTTAAAAAACAATATTCCTAATTAGTAACTATAACTCTATAAAATATATCCCAAATTGAAGGAAAATTGGCAAAATATTCACTTATCGACAATGTAGCCAAAGTAAGTTAGCATACCTATTGACCTTTTTTTATTACGTCAGGAAACCCTGTTGCCAGGTACCTGCCTCCTGGAGAAGAACGACGGGTTATGTGAGGTTCCTGCCACGCAAAGATGGTAAGAGCATGGCAGTCTACCCACTAAAACCTGATGATGTGTCCACCTTGCTCGTCTTAAGGCCGGGGCCATGGGAACCAAAAAAGGCAATCACTAACACCTAAGCTTGGATCTGCCTTAACTTCTGCCTCACCCTAGAGCAAGAGTATCCCGAAATCTTTCATTTTTATTAATTAATTATATGCCCAGTTTTGAGCAGGCGTACAATTTTTATCATTATCGTCATAATAACAGTTAAACCAATCGCATAAACGCTCTTACTCGTACTTAGGTCAGGGACCTAAAAATCGAGTATTGCGCGTTCAAGGCCGTTCATTTAGTTGCATTCTGCATGATACATACAAACTTGTATAAAATTACGTGAAATCCATATCAATACTAATATTACAAATGTAAAATAATTGTTTGTTTGTTTTTTTGTTTGTTTTTTTGTCTTTCTTTCACGTCGCAACGGAGTGACGGATGGCCTTGTTTTTTTTGTGTGGAGATAGTTGGAGGGCTGGAGAGTGACATAGGCTACTTTTTACCGCGGTAGATAATCTCATTCCCACGGGAAAACACGTTATAATACAACTCAAAAATTATTTTTAATCAGAATTACTTGAAACTTGGTATTAATGCTTATCAATACAATTAAATAAATGTGTGTTTTAACTTTTTCGAAATTCATTTATAAGGGTGTAAAATAGGAGGTGAAACTTTGTATGAAACCTATTTTTTAGTTTTTCTGTAGTTTTAGCGCGAGCGAAACCGCGGGTTCTACTAGTAAATAATACTTTTAACCAAAAAAGGTACATCAACATCAAAATTATTAAATATCCTTTTCCTCTTTTACTGGGAGGAACATTTATTCCAAAACTAGCATTGCCCACGGCTCCGCCGGCGTTCAGATGACCAGAAAGTAAATTCTTAGGTTTTACATATTAGTATACTCTTACAATGCAGTTTTTGTATTTTTTCTCAAAAATGAGATATTTTCCAGCGGTAAAAAGTATCCTATATGTTGACCCGGATAACCAGCTATTACCATACCAAATTTCATGCGGTAACAGACAGACAAAAATTCTAAATACTAAAGATTCGGCCTCTGTATCGATAATAATGTCTATTTAAATTAGTTTTTCCAGAGATTGATTTGTCCGACAATAACAATGGTTACCATGGCAACAAACAGTTATCAGCTAACTTCATCATGTCGCTTTTTGGCTGTCGGTGTGCGCGCGCATCGTAAAAATTTTACTCTCATATTTTTTTCCAACATCCGGTCCCAAAAGAAGTTTAACTTCAAAAAAGACCGACTTTGTTTTTAGATTACCTACCGTATAAAATGTTTTATGTAAATTAAATTATATTAGGTGAAAACACTTTTTGTTCAATTAATATCGATTCTGCGGTTTAGTGGTAAAATAAACGAACAGATACACTTATTTTATTTTTGTCTATCTAAGAATAAAGTCTTAAACATATTGACACAGCAGGTGAGTTTAACGTCATATTTATTAATTATATTTTGTAATATTAAAGTAATGGCCCAAACAGCACTTTAAGAGCCACTAAACAAAATAATTGAATTGTTTGTTTACATCTTGTTAAGAAGTTATTGTTTAAAATCTATTATAAGTGATATTATTATAAATTAAAAACTGTCTACATAAACTTTGTACGTCAAATTATATTTTAAATTAAACAAAAGGAAACCGTGAAGTCGTATCCATATTCATAATATTTACCATAATTTATATAATTTAATAAAACATAGGTACCAACTCTTACCGCAATTTATGTGTACCTATTTTGGGTCTGCTACAGCCTACAACAGTTTTTAACCTTACGTCACATCAATAGACCTTGAATAATTCTAGTGGCTTCTAGGATAATAAGTATATATGCTAAAATATAAAAAAATCGCCAAGTACCTACATGGTAAGGAAAGTAGAAAGCCTGCAATTTTGAAAATTAATCAAATTTAGATTATTCCTTTAAGTGTTTTTATCCTGTTACAATATTTAATATTATGTATGTAGGATATTAATAAAAGCGTTTAAACCACTAATTACTATTTATTCTTTAACAATTATACAAAGCAATGTTGACGCGAATCGTCGTGTCGTCATTATGACACAACATTTTTATTTCCTTTTATTCATCTATTTCATTCCATTCCATTCTTAAAATTCTAACATACGTCTCCTTTTATTCTTAAAATATCATTTCATGCATACTCATCTTGCAGATCCTACACTCGGCCATCCTGCATCCATGTCTGCCCTCAGACATACACTAAATAACTAAATAACTCTATTAACCTAACATTACAACAATATATAAATTATCCTCTAGTATAAAATTAAAAAAGTAAAATTACAAAACAAAAAATGCCTCAAAAACACATCAAGATGTCTGAATACTACAATAGTGAGGACTAACAACAACGAACACAAGTTCTTCAACTATGTCTGTCACCTGTTTTGAATAGGCCACTTTTTTATTTGAAGAGACACTGTTGAAGCCTCCACCATAGATCCATATATGTTAGCGTCTTTATTTTGTGCATCATATCGATTATTATCTTTTAATTTGATTATTTCATAAGGGCCGACACATCTTGGTTTTACTTTATGCCCAGTGCCAATCTCTATTCTTTTGAGGCTTCTTGTTTTCTTATTTTTTTTTAAAGTTCTTTTAATCATTGGCTTTTGTGAAATTATTTGTTTATTTACTTTAACTGGCATTATCTCACTACTGACAGATATGTCACTCTTGTATTCAACATTTTTCTCCTTTAAGTTGTTAACGGCGTAGGTTTTTGCTAATATTTTATTTCGATTTTTCAATTTTTCGTTTAATGTACTAGGACATTTTAAAACTGTAATCTCATCTCCTTGAGAAGCTGTGAACATGACATGTTTTGTCATTTTGTTGTCAGAGTTACCCGAACATGTGCGATTACATACTTTAACTGCCGATCCATATTCGTTTCTATTACATGTAAAACTAATGTGACCGAATGCATTGCATTTAAAGCATTTAAGTCCTTTGTTTTTATGTGGACACTGCAAAGATACATGACCCATTTCACCACAATTATAACATCGAGTTCTTCGAATACTTGTAAAATTTTTGCTTCTTTTTACTTCTTTCATTTTACTACTAATTTTTTCGTAAATTTTCAACTTCTCTTTCAATTCACTATAAGTATTTACGCCGTATAACATCATTTTATTTATTTCTTTGTCACTTATTCCTTTGTCACTTATTCCTTCAATTATATATTTTATTACTACACCATCTTCCAATTTTCCTCGGATACCTAGTTCCTTCATCACGAACATATAATTTATGCAGCTTTCATCCTGCCGTTTCCTTCTCGCGCTCATAATTTCGTGTATTGCTTTCGCATCTAGCTGGTCCGGAAATTCCTTAATTAACGCAGTCTTTAGTTCGTCCCAAGTTTTATATGGTCGCTCAGTCTTCAGCCAGAGTGCCGCCGTCCCGGAAAGCGATCTTCGCGCTATTAGTAGTTTTTGTAGCGGAGACCACTCAAAAATTTCGGCATTTGACTCCACTTCATCTATCCATTTTTCAATGGAGTAGGCATCGTCTTCACCACTAAAATTAGCCACTAATTCAGCCGTCATCTGAAGCATGTGTGGCGGATGCGACCTCGCCTCATGAAACTCCTCGGTTTCCATCTCCCGTCTTTCACGTCTTTGTCTTGACATCTTCGTCGTATAAAATATCAAGAGAATTTTGATAATGACGTCGCGTATCACAAAGCTATGTTTTTCAATAGAATAAGTGTTTTTTATTATTATCGCGGACGAGCCCCCAATTTGTAGGATATTAATAAAAGCGTTTAAACCACTAATTACTATTTATTCTTTAACAATTATACAAAGCAATGTTGACGCGAATCGTCGTGTCGTCATTATGACACAACATTTTTATTTCCTTTTATTCATCTATTTCATTCCATTCCATTCTTAAAATTCTAACATACGTCTCCTTTTATTCTTAAAATATCATTTCATGCATACTCATCTTGCAGATCCTACATGTATATCTATATATATTTAGAGGCTTCTGGGGGCCTGGGAGTTATTAACTATCGTACTGCAAAGACATGGATGGACATGAGTGAAATAAATGTGATATAAAATGTATAGGAGTTTCATTATTCCTGAATCGCCCTACAACTGAGCATAGATTATGCATTGAATATTAAAATTAAATATGAATTGAAGTCATTAACAAAAAAATTGAATTGAACTTAAAAAGCAAAATAACCATTGAAATAACGATGTCCAAATGCATTTACTTCGGACTGATAATGTAAAAATTTTACACTAAGTACATATACTTGTTTTGTTGCTATTGTACACATGTCTGACATACGCTACGCGGGAGATCGTGATCGAAATCGGTCTTATATTATTAACATGGAAGTGTCTGTTAGTTTATTTTGTTTACACGCCTGCGGCGAAGCGCAAAGTCCTGAATGTATGTATGTCGTGTTCTATGTTGCCTTGTAATTACTAAACGGCTAACCGGCTTTAATGATTGTCGTTTTTGTCTAGATAACCGGAGCGTAATGGACTATATGGATATTAATTATTATTAAAAATTAACATGGCGAATTTCAAGCGCCAATTTGTGTGCCTTGAAAATTTTTTTTTCAAATCTATCGAGTGTGATATCAAAATAAATATTTTTAAGAGAATATCACAAATATATACAACTTATATGTTCTATAATAATTTAATACAACAAATTGTTAAATAAAACTTAACTAAACGTAACTAAAAAGCTATAAAAAAATAAAAAAAATATAAATTATATTTAATTTGTTTTTAACATAGCAAGAGAGCAGCAATAAATGGAAATAATTTTATAACAGATGAATCGACGTGACAATATAGTTTATGGGTCTGGATTAAGCTGTATTTATTTGATATTACTACTTTTACGTAATTTTACACTATTACACTATAATATCTAGTCTATGCCGTCAAAGACGTATGTATCTACTTACATATTGTGTCTACGTACTAGCTAAGTCATACTACGTGCATGTATCATGCATGTCTCGGGCTGCATAATACTGTGTCAACTTCTTCTCGTCTTTTGAATTCGCTTTTTACGCAGTCGTAATTTTTTAATTTTTTGTAATAATAATAATTTAATTGCAAAATTGTCTAGTGGTTTAGGTATATGAGATAGGTACTTTATAAATTTCAACTTTAAAATGGCTGTAACGTATGGATAAAGGAACGTAACGAAATAACGGTCTTCTTTTTATATTTTAGCTGCGGAAAGAAATATTCTCCGTATTTTATTTTCTACTTTCTATCATCTCTTTAGTAATCATTTGATAATAAGGTAATTTACACTTGCCCAGTCGTACAAATTAGTTATTTTCTGACTGACTCGAAGTGACCTGTCAAGTGTGCCATCTAACCTCATAATTCATACTTATGAGACACACCTATCTACGCTAGTCGCTACGGATATAAAAACTACAAATATTTATCACAGAAAAACATATTAAATCAAATTAACAATAAAGAAACTGTTTTAGTTCGTATTTCCTTATCTTTACAGTTCGCTTGCAAATCTATTAGATAGTACTTACTCGTATGTTCGAAATTCGAATGATTCACCGTTTTTTTAAAAAAAACAGAGATTATAAATCAGAATTTATAAATAAGATTGTTTTATCATGATTCATTTCTAACTAGCGGCTCACCCTCGCTTCGCTCGGGTAACGGGTTCGAAGACAAAAACAAATCTATCCCCACGGGAACCGTAAATTTTTCAAAGACAAAAAGTAGCCTATGTGTTATTCTGATGTATGATATTATTGTAAAATTTCATTAAAATTCATAGAGTAATTTTGCGGGAAAGAGTAACAAACATCCATACATCCTCACAAACTTTCCTATATTAGAATAGGATTATACGTACAATTTGGAAATATTTAAGTTGAGTTATTATTATTATGTTACTTGTTAATTTAAATATAAACGTCGGGCATAAAAAGACACTAAAACCGCGAGATATCCGAAAAAATATTTTTATTCAAAACTCACCTCACTCTCGCGACCCACCTCGCGTAGCTCGGGTACGTCCCTGGGTTTATTCCCCATACAAACTTTCATCCCCATTTTCACCTCCTAAAGGGATGATTTCCGGGATAAAAGGTCCTATGTCCTTCCCAGGGTCTCAAACTATCTTCTTACCAAATTTCATCTAAATCGGTTCAGTGGATCCAGATTACTCCCTACAACGTTACAAACTCACAAACTCACTAAGTTTACCTCTTTATAATATTAGTATAGATTAGCGACTTACATTTCCTTTATTACGCGTTCCTTGATTCTTTTTTTAAATAAAAATAGCCTGAGTTAGTCCTTGTAACATCAGCTGTCTGCCAGGAAAAGTCAGACAGACAGACAAGAATTTTAAAAATTGTGTTTTACTAATATGAATTATACTGTATACATATAATAAAATTCTAACTAAGCCGAATCTGTACATTTAATATTTTTTGGAAAATCTTATTGAAATATACATTATTATCGATACAGAGCCCGAATCTATAGTTTTTAGAATTTTGGTCTGTCTGTCTGTTTTATTTTGAATTAATAAAATAAAATTAATAAAAAAATTTTTAATATTGGGGGGTATTAAAGTATTTTTTTTTAAAAAAATAAAAAAATTTATAGTTAATTAATATTGTAAAAGAAATTTTAAATATAAATGAAAAATTAATTAATAAAAAAGTAAATTTAATTTATTGTATCTTGTGACAGCATCACAGAAAAACCACTGGAGGGATTTTGATGAAATTTGGTATGGTAATAGCTGGTTTTCCGGGTCAACATATAGGATACTTTTTACCGCGCGAAAATGGCTCATTTCTGAGAAAAAATACAAAACTGCAATGTAAGAGTATACTAATATGTAAAACCTAAGAATTCGGTTTTTGGTCATCTGAACGCGGGCGAAGCCGTGGGCAATGCTAGTACTTTTATATGCGCTTAGTAAAAAGCTGTTATTTTGACATTACAAACATACACTTCAATTTTATTTATTTGTGTAGATGTCAAATATTCGCGTATATCTAAGAAAGAAAAAGACTCAATATGGGTAGGCAATAGGAATGCATGTGGCTTTAGGTTATGCAATAATTTGGTTAATTTTGAATCAATTTTTGTTTTTTTTTTAAGATAGCTTCCTACCTCAAGGGTGGAGTGATTCTTCTTGAACTGATTTAAAATGGCTGAACTTTTTTATTTAAAAAGTTTCTTTTTTATCCGACTGCAGCGAAATTCAATAATTAAGGATAAGAAATTGTTAAATAGAATTAAAAATGTCTAACTGACCAAAACTAAAAAGCTGTAAATAAAAAAATAATGTAAAAAAATTATGTAAATAAAATATTAAAAAGAGAACTGCGAAATTAATTTTTAGTTTAAACTTCACTATCACCCAACCTTATTTTATAGATTCATAGTACTATGTAGTTGTAAGTACTTCTTAGTACAGTTGCACCATCTCAATACATATGTAGCACCTAAGTATGAAAGGTGTGATATCATATTCTTACGATAACAGATTAAATGAAGCATTCCATTTATATAACAAAAACAAGTAACATTATCACCTCTCACTAGAGTACATAGGTAATATTATACCTACGTAAGTAAATATATTGATATGTTGGTATATGTAACGATATCGCGAAAACACAATACTTGTATAGTATCATTAGTAACTCAGGGTGAGCTTCGTTTGGGTTCGTCCCTAGTGAAAAACAAAAACAAATCTATCCCACGGGAACAATATATCTTTCCGGGATTAAAAGTAACCTATATGCTATTCCAGGATTTAATCTATCTCTGTGACAAATTTCATCTAAATCCGTTCAGCCATTTTGGCGTAATTGAGTAACAAACATCCATCCAAACATTCGCATTTATAATATTAGGTACTAATTTACTAGCGAGTAGCGACTCACCCTCGCTTCGCTCGGATTCGTCCCTAGATTGCTTCCCCATACAAACTTTCATCCCCATTGTCACCTCTTTAAGGGATGATTTCCGGGATAAAAACTATCCTTTGTTTTTTCCAGGGTCTCAAACTATCTTCTTACCAAATTTCATCTAAATCGGTTCAGTAGTTTCGGAGCTTATTCGGTACAAATTAACAAAAAAAAACTTTCCTCTTTATAATATTAGTATAGATAATGGAATTATGGGATATGGATTTACAAGCTAAGTCCAAGCAATTATTGATAAAACTTTTGACCTTCAATATCTATTGTTTGACTTTTGCTAAACGTATATACTTATTCATAATATTTAAATTAAATTATTAATTTGATGCAAGTGTTTGCCTCCCCTTTGACTTTTTATTATATTATAACATACTAGCAGAACCCGCGGCTTCGCTCGCGCTCAAACTACAAAAAATCTCTAAAAAGTGTTGTTTCATATAAACTTTCACTCCCTGTTTTACCCCCATATAGGACGAATTTAAAAATGCTAAAATCCGTATTTATTTAATTTTATTGAAGAGCATTAATACCAAGTTTCACGTAATTCTGATCATAAATATTTTTTTGGATTGTATTATAACGTGTTTTCCCGTGGGAATTAGGTGATCTCCCGCGGTAAAAAGTACCTACCTTATGTCACTCTCCAGCCCTACAACTACGAGT